AACCCAAACTCATTGCCATCAAGTTGATTCCGACTCATAGTGACCCTACCGGACAGAGTAGAACTGCCCCATAGGGTTTCCAAGGAGCACCTGGTGAATTCGAACTGCCAACTTTTTGGTTAGCAGCCTGAGCTCTTAAGTACTGTGCCACCACAGCTTATATATATATATATGTATGTATTCCTGATAAGATTCTTTGATATAGATTCTCCAACTGAATTACATTCTTCAGAATAAAGATGTTAAAAATAATAAGAAAACTGTTTTATAAATAAAAAGCTACACTGATGAGGTGTAAAAGTGAGTATTCTATTAAAGCAGAGCATTAGAATGCTGTTCCATGTTACTAAATAACAATAATATATATATTTCAAACTGTGTCTACCTCAAATTCAAATTATTTTACTGAGTTCTGCTATTAAAACACCTGAATTATGTGTTTTATTAGTGCGTAAACAATGTTGCTCCTGAATATCTCTCCCCCTGTGAACATACTATCATATACCTTTGAAATAGAAAATTAGGAAAACATTTAATTCTTCCAGTTTCTGGAGTTCAGTGCTTTGTGAGGAAGCGGAGAGGAGTGAAAAACAGGAAGAGTAAGCTTTCAGAAGGCCCATCCATCTCTGTGGGTAAAAGAAATTCTTCTGGTCTTTTAAAACTTTAAGTTTTGCCTAATACCAACCTTCCACATTCTTTCCTTTAAACAGTGGGCTTGAACCGACCCTCAGAGAGAACTTTAAAAGCAAGAAGAGAGGAAGCAGAAGGGAAGCAAATGGTGGAGGAAAACAAGAAAGAATGACTGGTTTGAGGTGGCCAGCAGCATGATTTCACATGAAGCAGTTACCTGATACAAAGCCATAGAAGTCTAAGTCTAACTTAGTGTTTGTATTCACCCACTGAAGTGAACAGGACAAGCTCTACCCAATTAACATTTATTATTCTCTTCTGTTTTGAAGTTACTATTTGTAAAGCAGTTGGATATGGCATGGGCTCATCCCACTGAAAAGTTCTTGCCCAGTCTAGTCATCACAACCCCTTGTACCTAATTCAACCTCTAGTTGCAATGCATTTCACCCAGGTTATCACAACAGTATTCTGACAAGGTTGGGAAGATTGACTCTATTATTACCTCTTTACAAATGTGAGATACTAAGGCACAGAGACAACGGCCCAAAGTCCCAAGAAACAAAGTCCAAGTCACAATTCTGGCCCTTGAACAAGCTCCTCTCACGGCTGTGCCCCCACCCCCACCCCACCCCCCGCAAGTACCTCCCTGCTTTTTACCCAGGCCCAGAGCCACAGGATACCTGAAAAAAGGACTGGAGAAAGCGCTGAATTTAGGCTCAGAAGCCCTCAGGGAAAAATATTGCCTCACCTACTTATTGACTAGCTGTGTGCTTTTGAACAAGTTGGTCTCCAGTCACCTCAGCTTTCTCACATATAAAACGTGGATAACGTCTAATCTGCGGATTTCAGAATGCTTGGGAAAATCGACTAAGAGAATGTATGTGGAAGCCCACGCAAACATCACGCATTAGTCAAGGTCCAGCTTAAATCCAACTTAATCCAGGGCCTTTTCCAGCCTTTCGGTGCAGCCTACATTGAACTTTCCCCCTGATGTTTCCTGGCTACACTATTTACCTCAGCACTTGGATCTACTTCATCTTGTATTGCTGCTCCAATATTTCACAGTCGGAACACTTCCCCTCCACAGCGCCCAGAGTAGGGCTGTAAGCCTAAAAGTGGTCTATGTTATCAACGTTATGGATGAAGCGGTGGAGCCAAGAGTAGAATCCGACCCTCCTGGTGCTGCAGGGCTCATTTCTACACAAAATTTTTTTAAAAATTAAGAGCTTGCCTGCTAACCGAAAGGCTGGCAGTTCGAATCTACCAGCTGCTCCTTGGAAACCCTATGGGGCAGCTCTACTCTGACGTATAGGGTCGCTGAGTTGGAATTGACTCTATAGCAAAGGGTTTGTTTTTTTTGTTTTGTTTTGTTTTATGGAATATAGTTACGTGTAAGCTGTAATAAGGATACTCAGCGAGAGGCAGACTTTCCACTTTAAAAGAAGAGGGTAAACCATATAAACTGGCCCAACCACAGATAAATTCCCAGAGGCTCCCCAGACCCCGGGAATCCTGCCAAAAGCCGGCACCTCCCCACAATCAGAGAACCAAGTGGGACACATTTCTCCCATGCATTCTCCTTAGGCCTCACAGGGAAAAATCTTGCTGGACATATTTGCAAATCAGGCAGTTGTTTGATTTCTATAGGAAAGAAGACATTCTAAAGATTTTTCATTTCTCCTGGGGACTATATACTCTGTGCATACAGAACATTCTCTTCAGGAGCTCGTAGTAGCTTTCCCACAAACACCAACCTGCTGGTAGTGCATTACCTGATCTTTGTAAACCAGTGAGCTGGGGCTTGCCCGTGGTTTGTCTTTAAATGAGTAAGTGGCCATTTGCTTCTTCAACAAGTCCAGTGAGTCAGGAGGCATATACTGGGGTATATCATTTATTACTGGATAGTTCCTGTGCACAAGAGGTGGTTTTTTTCTTCCTTCATTTTTAAAATTGTAGGTTGCTATTACTGGATTTAATAGGGATTCTTCAATAAAAGTTCTCAGGTGGTAAGTGCCAGGTATAGGAGTATTCTGTGGAAAATTGACACAGTTAAGATCATTGTGTAAACCTAATTAAAGCACCTTTTTTGGAAGGGTCATTCCTAAGTGGTATTTTACTTCGTTTTAAATTTTAATGAAATTCTATGAAATATAATAAACACTTTTGACAGAACAATATTTCTAGAGAATCATGATTATTTCCTTTCTGAAACAGTTGGGGAATTAATACCAGGTGGATTATAGCCATAGTTGAAGTGTAGCTTTTGGAAAAGTAACTTGAGAGATAAACTTACGATTTAACTTGACCATAAATTTCAGGGCTCTAGTGATACCACTCAGGGTTGCTTCTACAGTATTATCTTTTGTTTTTTTACAATTATCTGTTTGAGTTTTTTTTTAATTTTTTTACTGTTGTAAAAATATACATAACACAACATTTGCCACTTCAACATCTTTCACATATACAATTCGGTGCCACCAATTAACATCAGTCATGTTGTGCAACCATCACCAACATCTGTGGCCAAATTTCCCTTGACCATAAAGAGAAACTCAGTGCTCCCTAAATAATGACTCCCTGTCCCCTCTTCCTGCCCCTGGTTTTTAACTTTGATCTCTATATATTTGCTTCTTCTAGATATTTCATATAAGTGAGATTATACAATATTTGTCCTTTGGTGATTGACTTTCAGGATAGCTTCTTGACCAAATGAAATTTATCCTACTTCTACTATGTAGATAATGCTTGTTGCTTTCTAACCCTCAAGTGGGAAGCTAAAGGATAATAACATGAGACTGGGGACGAACTGGTAGAGCATATGGCCTAATTAGCCCAGTAAGAGGTTTGGTACTTTCAAACCACAAGCACCAGGTGGCTAAAAGATGCAGACCTGAAAGTTTAGTCACTGCTTCTTTTGTGGCCATCTTGCCACAAAGCATGCAGCTCAGTTCTGCCATTAAAATTAGTTGAATTCCAAGAAGGCTTTGACCCAGGAGGACCCTCTGTTGTTGAAGGGTGTTGACAGAAAATATTTCCAAAATCTAGAAACGATATCTCTTGAGGGGGCAAGGGTCTTCTGGTCATTTTTCAGTTGGGCCATCTTGCTTTAGTACATTCATGTTAACAACAGTTCTCATAGGCTCTATTCTATCTAAGTCAGGTAAAAACTGAAATCAAAGCACCTTCCAGAACACATGCTTTGCTTCCTTGTACAATCTTACTAAGATCATAAGGTAGGATGACCTTATCTAGACAATGGCAAAGCACCTGTTTTCCAAGAGCTGTTTTACTTTTCCAAGCTTTTACTGCATTCGAAATGTAAAGCTAATTTCTCATCCATATGCTGATACTACTATCGTGTAAGTATGAAATGAAGTCCATGTAGGTCTAAACAACCACTTCTTTCTTACAATTAAGTGTTACTGACTTAAGAGGTAAGACTGATTAAAAGATCAATGGAAATAAGAATAATCTGAATTGGAAAGACTGAAAATATACTCACTGTTAGTGTTGTTCTCCACCAACCTTCTCTTTCAAAAGATGCTGACTTTCGGGTTGGTTTCTATTAACAAACACAAAATACGCTTATTCATTTGAGACGTGATCTCTTGAAGTTAAATATAATTTATAAAACATTTACTTGAAGAAATTAACATCTTCACCAAACTGGTCAGCCTGTATTAAAACAAAAGCTATATAATGATAAATTTTTGCCTGTAATATTGCCTTAAATTGCTACTTTATGATCTTAAGTGTTTTAAATATCTAAATTCCCCTTGGTAAAATTAGAGTAATAAGCATTCCCACCTCAGAGAGATATTGTAAGAATATTAGATGTGATAAAATTTGGTGTTCTTAGGAAGGAAAAGAGTTGCGTAAATCCAAAATTGTATTATTGTAAATTAGATTTATGGCTCAGGTGATTCGGCTGGGAGCTCAAGGTAAAAGTGTATAGCTAGCATATTAATGTGATATTGGGATACAAGTTCCCAGCAATATGGCAAATGTTGAGAAATGCCATTTCCTGGACTTACATACACTATCAAACGTGATAGAGTTCCAGTTCTCTAAGCTTGTCCAGCTAGAGTCTGTGAAACTGGAGAGGCAGAATGATAAAGGAGCCAGATAGACTTGGCCTTGAACCCCAGCACGGCCACTTACTAGCCAGGTGCACTGGGCAAGTTATAAGCCTCATACGCCTTACGAGCCTCAGCTTCCACACAGAGTATAAAAACAAGGCACTACCAGGTTTCGCGTGAGAATCAGGCATTGTATATATAAAGGCTTGAGTTCACTACCAGCACTCAACGAATGGTAGCTATCGTTTTTAATATTTCATCTGCCAAGTTAAGAAGGGAATTATTTTAGTGTTCCGCAGTTTCCGAGGAAGCACTTGTCTTCCATATCAAGTACTAGGTAAAATCATTAAAATATTGAGTTTTTCTCTCATTTATAATGCTTTTGTTATTACAATTCAATTTGAGTTGCCTCAAACAAGAATGCATTAAAAAATATAAACAACCTAATCAGGAAAAATTGATATAATTAATTCCTCCTGTCTAGTAACTTAAATCCACTGTATTTATGAGTACCCCCTGGGCTTTATTTTACAATGAATTATGGGCATGTCTCTGAAAAAGATTGTTTCATACATACTGCTAAGTCTGCATTTCTTCCTATACACTCCCTTTATTAGATTTATGCTGAATCTTCTCTGTTGCACATTTATAGTCACAGAAACTGAACTTTCTCAGGCAGGTCAAGACAGGTCTCCCCTAAGCATCTCCACAGCGGCCCCATCTCTGCCTAGGAATCGGGAAAATGAAGTGGGAGAACAGGGGAGAAGTAATGGAATATTAAGGAAGTAACTGGCAGCCGCTGTTTCATTTTGTCCAAAGCAGCTGATCTATACTCATATTCCCATTCACTTTAAGGGGAAAGACAGCAGACAGGTTAAACGTCTCTCAGCCAGATTTATTTAAAAACAAAGGTAGTTTCAAATATTTTATAAATATTCAAATAGGAGATAAAACATGTCTGATATACTGTTACACGAAAGGAAACCCCATTTTCCGACCGACGGAGGGAAAGTGAGGAAACTGAAATAAGTCTTGTCACCCGACTAAAGCAGCTGTCCAGCGCAGTTAGTCGTAGGAAAGAAGAAAAAAAACAGAAAACAAAGGGCGAAGAGGAAGCATAAGCGAGGCAGCACGGTTAGAGAAAACAAAACGAAGGAGAGATCAAGTAAAGACCAGGCAGAAAGGTCCGCGGGTGCGAGGGTGGGTCAGGGAGAGAAAGGCAGGAAGAATGAAGGGGAGCCGGAGGCGCAAGGGCCGGGATCTAGGGAGGTGAGAGAAGGGCAGACGAGCCCGGGAGTGGACGGTGGCGGGGCGGCAGGAGGGAGGCGGGGCGGCGAGCGGAGGCCCCAGGTCGTCCCTTACAGCGGTGGTGGAGAGGGCGATGACTGGCTGATCCATCACAGCTCGGCTCAACCTGGGCTGAGGCTGGCGGCCGGTTGCTAGGAGACGCCTTGGCCGCGGCTCCCGGGCGAGCGCTGGATACCGGCCAGGTGTGTCTCCGGTGGTGCTGCGCGCGGGCGGAGGGTGGGGGCACAGGAAATCGCCAGAGACGATCATGCACGCGCGTAAGAAAACCTAGAGAGGGCTCTGGAGTCGCCAGAGAGCCCCTCAGGTGAGTATATGCGTCAAGGGAGGTTTGTAGGGGCTTGAAAGTACCCACATCTCCAACACCCCCTTCCCAAATCACCCCCATCCTACACGTCTAAACAGGCTAAGTGGAAAGAGTATGCTTGGAAGGCATACTTAGCTTTAAGGCAAAAATCCCCCTTAGCAGCCCCTTTCTAAGATTGACATTTGTTTTTAAGCTCCTCCAGATAGAAATCCTGGGAGTGTCACTTCCCTTGCATCTGATTTGAGCACTGGACGCAGCTGTCACTAGCTGTGAAACAACAGGCCACCCCTTTGCACTCCTTATACTCTTCACTGTTCAATCTCTTTTGGCTGTAGCTTCTTTTCAACCTATTAACATTCTTATCTTTAAAAACAAACTCTCTCTCAACCTTAACAATTCCATTTTATAGAGTATCTACAGCGTTGCAGGTATTTCACGTACATTAATCTCATTTAATCCTCACAACAACCCTGAGAGATATGTGTTAGTCCCATTTATGGGCGAGGAAAGAGAGGTGACCTTGGACGGTTTAGCACACAGCATCATACCGAAGTGGCAGAGCCAGAATTCAAACCCAGGTCTGACTCCCAGTCTCACTGTCCACTACACCATGAAGCTTCTTTTCACAAACTTTTGAGAAAACTGGGTTAAATTCTTTCCTCACCTCCCATACTTTTTTTTAAAACCATCTTAATCTGACACGTGCACACACCTTTCAATTAAAATTGTACCTGTTAAACTACCAGTAATCTAATTGCCAAATCCAACGAGGATTTCTCAGCTTTTGTCAAACTCAACCTCCATTTGTCATTGCTGTACTTATTACTCCACCCCCTCATTCCCGAATTTCTCTCCCTCCCTCTACTACCAGGATTTGAACCCTGGCTGCATTTCCTGACATGCTCTCCTTGTTTTTCTTATCTATAAAGTTGGGGATAATAAATAGGTACCTATCTATATGGTGTTATTAACTTAATTGACTAAAATGTTTGGAGCAGGGCTTCAAACCGGTTTGAACCCCTGCGGAGAATTTGCATTTCCACCCCAGATACACTGTATCAGAATCTACATTTTAACAAGATCCCCACATGATTCTTATGCACAGCTTCCTGGGAATGTTAGAAATGCAAGTTCTCAGCAGGGGTTCTAACCGGAATGAACCGTTTGAAGCCCAAGTTTGGAGTCATGTCCAACACTGCATTCAGTAATAAAGGCCATCAGTATTGGCTTTAGGAAAAATGCATAACATCTGCAATCCTCTCACTTCTCTCCCCCTCATTAAGACATTATAATGTTGTATCGTATACTTGCAAGCCCCAAATATGCCATCTTCACACTTCTGTCCTCTCACATGCAAGCCTTTCTGCTTGAAAGGCTGTTCCCCTCGACTGCCCAGCAAACCTCAAGGGGTTAACTCCTCCAAGAAATCCTAACTAACCCCTCGTGTCCCAAAGGACCCTGAGCCTGTTTATTGGAGGACTCATTTTCACAAATCATTTCTCCCAACTTTAGACATATCCAAGAGTTTAATTCTGAACCCTCTGTGCACAGGACTAAAACGTGTTGAATAAATGACCAGTTTCCTCCCCTATAAATAAAACCAGAGTGAATTATAACAGTGCTTTTCAAAAATTGATGGGGTTTCAAAATAGCCACAGATCATGTTAAAATGCAGATTCTGACTCAGGACCTAAGATTCTGTATTTCTAACAAGCTCCCAAGTGATTCTGTACGCAACCTTCTGAGTAGCAAAAAAAGAGAGGTCTTCCATTTCTCTTAAAATACTGGGTTTCGAGATTCATCTAAGAGCCTTAAAAATGAAAAGGCAATACACAATAAAACTAAACAAAAAGGACCAGACACCAAGTTTGAAATCAAGAACTGAAATTTGAAGGGTTGGAGGCAGGTGCAACCAGAGTCCTCACAACTATGAGAGATTAATCAAGTCCATCATTTTGCCTCATTTCCTTTTCTTATTTTGCTGAGCCTGTAAAACTGGCTCAGCAGACTAGGGACTGGTACTCTAGAGACTGAAAGGATATGATGATAGGTACAGAGAAGTCCAGAAACCCATACAAGGTGTGAAACAGAAGGGAACATCTCCATGAGAAAATAGTTTAAGCATCTCAAAAATAGAAACAGCACAGGTCAACAATTTCAAGGACTTACCCATAAAACGGATTAAGCATGTCAGGTAAGCAAAATATCTCCTTAATGAAATATTGTCTTGTACATTATCACTCAGAAATGTTGGACTCATTTTTAGGGCACCATAACAGCAGTTTTAAAATGGGGAGGAAGGACTTCTCTTTGAGAATACAGGACTACAAGAAGTAGAGCTCAACAGTGCTTCTGCTATGCATCAGGCTCTTTAAAATTTTTATCCTTATAGAAATTCCAGGGAAAATACGTTAGAATCATCTTTAACTACAAGTGATGCTTTTTGATAAATTGTCTGAGCAAACAAGCTATAGTTGGTACAAGGAAAGAATGATCAATTACCATGACCATGCTAACATAAAACTGGTAATACGGTTAGAATCCGAAGGTGATAAGGTTTTAGAATTACCTGGGTTCATGTACTATCACGTTGTAGAAAGTAGCGGAACTGAAATCTGAACCAAGCTCAGTACGTGCTCAGCATGACTAGTTAAATTCTACAACTGCTCTGTACTTAAATTTCCTGTAAAATCCAGATAATGCATATTTTGTGACTTTTGTGAAGAAAACAAGAATATAAAATCGCCAATTAACATGAAATACACAAGTGCCCCAAAATGTGTTTTCTCTTCCATCTCATTAACCATACCTCTTGGCTTGACATAAATTTCGTAATGTTGGAACTGGAAAAGCACAAAGATTAACCTTGCCGAATTCTCTCATTTTACAGGGTCACAACTGGTTGAACAGCACAGGAACATACACTGAGCACTTACTGCAAACGCTGGTCTATGCTAAGCCTTTTGCCTGTGTTATTTCACTACATTTTTGTAAAAGCCCAGAGTTACAAACCAACTGGGCAAATTATACCCATTTTACAGGTGTAACTACGGCTTGAGTAAGACCAACTTCTTTAAATTCACACACTGCTGCAATAAATCCAATTTTTATTAACACCCTGGAGACAATGCCTCAACGGCAAGGAATGTGAATCCTCTCCCCAAATACCTTAACCTTCCCTTTGACTAAACTCTTAAAACGCATCTAATGAAAGGGCCTCAATAGAATGCTCATCTAAAATCATCCTATTTAATTGATCTTCTGCCTAATATGTGATGTAACACCCTCACCCCCCTTTTAGGATTATCAATGCCTATAATTTTCCTTGTCCTATCTAAAACATATTTATCACTATTTTCCTTCGCTAACTATCCAGTTTTCTATTTTCTGGTAGAACTAGTAACAATGGTATTAAAATAGTCAAAGATGGGCCAAATAATGAATTGCCTCCTGGGAAATTAAAAACCTTGTGGCTATAAAAACCAAGTAACAATTACACTCAATGTTTTAATCTTGGCTCTGGTTTGCTATGGCATCTTTAAGCATTTAAAAGGTAGTTAAGAAAATAAAAACCCTGATAACCACCTTCTGAGTAGCTTAGAGAGAAAGCAATGGTAGAAGCCAGGCAAAAACTAAAACAAGGTCTGTTGTTGTTGTTAGGTGCCTTCAAGTAGGTTCCAACTCATAGAGATCCCATGTAAGCAGAACAGAACACTGCCTGGTTTTGTGCCATCTTCACAATCGTTATGCTTGAGCCCACTGTTGCAGCCACTATGACACTCCATCTCGTTGAGGGTCTTCCTCTTTTTTGCTGACCCTCTAACAAACATGATGTCCTTCTCCAGGGACTGATCTCTCCTGATAACATGTTCAAAGTACATAAGACGAAGTCTCACCATCCTCCCTTTTAAAGAACATTCTGGCTGTAATTCTTCCAAGATAGATTTGTTTTCTTCTGGCAGTCCATGGTATGTTCAATATTCTTCGCCAATGTCATAATTCAAAGGCGTCCATTCTTCTTTGGTCTTCCTTATTCATCATCCAGCTTTCACATGCACACAAAGTGACTGAAAATACCTATGGCTTGAGAGTCAGGTGCACCTTAGTCCTCAAAGTGACATCTTTGTTTTTTTTTAACACTTTAAAGAGGTCTTTTGCAGTAGATTTGCCCAATGCAGTACATCACATGACTTCTTGACTACTGCTTCAATGGGCGTTGATTGTGGATCCAAGTAAAATGAAACAAAGTTTAGTCACTGCCAATCTACCGCTAAAAATATCTTTTTTGTAAAACATCTTGCAGATAAGCAGGCACAACTAAAAATTCTGTCTTATGGTAGAAGAATTAAAAAGCAAAATGAGTGAAAGATTAGGAAATAGAGATAACGACCCTCTCCTCATCTAGATTTGGATTGTTGTTACATCCAAACATTTAAAAAATGATGGCACTTTCTAAAGTCAATATGGAAAAATGGATACCAAAGTTGATAAACACAGAAAAAAGGCTGGAAACACTAAATACCCAACTTATGCCAGGTACATTCACAACAGGTTTTTTAATCTTCCATTTAAACACTGAAGCAAGTTATCATCCTAATTTAAAAACTAAACACAATCTCAAATAGTCCAAAAAAGTACTTGTCTAGATTATACCAAGTACAAATTCCACATTTTATCCTTAAAATTATCAGACCTTAACAGTATTAATAACTCAGATTCCGAGCAACAGTTGGGCAAATTGTAATTTTTTTTTATTGGAAAACAAATATACAACTTGGAATGGATTTGAGGCAAATTGTGCCGTAAGCAGATTTTCTTTAAGTGGCTAAACAAAGTTTAAAAAGCAAGTAACAATAAAAGAAAATGTTTCTGGTACAGGACCAGCAGTACAAAAAAATAGTGTACGAGTACCTGGATAATACACCCGTTTTGCAATAGTGCAACT